GATATCACATGCTAGAAATTGTTGCACTAAGCGACGTTCATTCGCTTTTGCTATGAACCCCCTTGCACTTCGTCTGCCCCTCAGCACGGAGCCATCTGTATAGACAGTCACATCACCTGGGCGGGAATTGTCATGAATCATTTGTTGAACTTCTGATTCTGCAGCACCAGCTGGCCAGTCCTTGAACTCATGACCCAAAGTGATAAGAACCCTACACAAGTTTATTTTATGTTTTCAAAGACGAGCCATCAAACGTTGATCTTATTTATGAAATGCCGCCTTGGATTCCCAAGACATTTGTTGGTATGTATTTTAGCCTGTGCTGATTTAACTCTTTGAGTCCCAAGGAACGGATCATACGTTCATAGCTTCCTACCCAGAAGCCCAATGAGCGCATGATGCACCGATTTTATGACTTTATTTGCTACCCCCTGGGCCTGTGATGCTAAACCTCCTGGGACTCAAAGAGTTAAGAACAAACGATGCGAGTTTGATAACCCAGGACGATCCGATTGGCAGGGAAACGTTTAACTACCGAGCCATGAAGGCTTCCAGGAGAGTGTTTACCATGCCCTGAACTGAATGGAGAGGTTAATAGAATGTGGGTTGAGATAAACAGAATGGAGACTGAAGTAAATAGAATGTAGAAAGAGATAAACAAAATAGAGACCTGAGACAGAATGAGGACTGAGGTACACAGAGGGGGGACTAAGATGATCAGAATGGATACTGAGATAAAATAAATCTCACTCCCTTCTCCAAAATAGAATCCGGGTCTCTGACAGTAGAGCCCAATGCCAAAACATTTGACTAGCCTTTTCTGTGATAAAACAAGTAACAGATGTCATAACGACTGCAAATGTAAAACAGTTTCCCAAAAGTCTCCAACTCTGTTCGAAAACCTGCTTGTCGTAGTAGTAGTAGTAGATTTTTACCCAACTAGGACATCACACAAGCGATAAACACCCGATGACACAAAGCGTCACCATGTGGATGAGGATCACCGTGGAGAGGTCCCAGAAACCGCGTTCAGCCATTAGACCATATTTATAGTCGGGCTATATTGCGGCCCCTGGCAAGAGCCAGGGTGGGGCTTCAAATAACGAAAAATTACATCTCACAAGGAGATGACTGAATAGAGACAACCTGCTTGTCGCTGCGTAATCGGTAAATCTAGAACATTCCCATTAATGTTCTATGATATGTTCTCTACTTTCCCTCTCTTTCCCTTTACAGCCACTCCCCTTATTTAGCCACGAATCAATACCACGTATATTGTAAGTATGTGTTCTCTAAATACGACACAACCCACTGAACATTGACAATCGACTTGGATTTTAAGTTGTCCTGAAAATCCAAAGTCAGACATCACATTGCCTGCCTCGACATTCGCAACACTATTAAAACATACACTGAATCGGCCACTCAAGAATTGAATGGACACAGCAAGAGCAAGGTATTCTATGGCAACGCACACTAAATTAACTTAAGTGGACGGGGGGAGGCGGGAAGGAATGCAGAGACGTTTTAAATTATTTCGTTGACGTCCAGAATGCTGCCATAATTTTGTTTTATTACGCAAAAAAAAAAAAAAAAAAACGCAACAGGTATAGTATATTTGCTAAGACTGAGAAAACCAATAAATGTAGTAAAAGCTTCATGGAAGAGCCAGCACAACAACAGGAGTCTTTCGATCCTCAGAAGGAGTCCCCGTTCTTTGAACGTTTCGGCCCCTTTACCTTACTCACAACCTCGGGGGGAGTGGGGGGGGGGGGGGGGGGGTAACAACCCGTGTCGCCACTACCGGATTTCGTTCTGCCGTTGGAAGCACTTAGCAAAAGTCAAGATAGGACTATGTAATAATCAGAAGCGAATGCGGGGTCAACGAAATAAGAACATCGCTTCAAAACAAGACACAAAAATAGCGACGATCGAACTAAAGTAACACACAACTAAACGTGATGACGCGCTAAACGATAAATCTTCTTCTTCTTCTGCGTTCGACATCAGTCATGCTACACATTGAGTCCCGTCTGGGTCAAAAATAGGTTTGTGCGTTTAAGGTCGCCACCGGTCCCCCATAGCTTCTCTCGCAATGTGGATCCCCTGGGCCAGATCCACAGTCTTTGCTGGGAGAGGTAAGGGCAGTACTGCAGTATGAGCTCAGGGGTCTGTCTTTCTGCTCCACAATCACAGGCAGCAGATTCTTTTATGCCTATCCTGTACAGGTGTGCTCGAAGACCACAGTGTCCAGTACTAAACGATGAAAACAACCAACACATGACACCGCTAGAATATAGGAGATTTAATGTTTTAGTATAGTAAAAGAAAAGGGCCGTTTTCCACGCCTCTAGGCGTTTTGGGCATATGGGGCTAGACCTATATTTGTAAACCACTTGGCACTTGGGGGTAGTATGGTTAACATCAAGTCGGCTGCCTTTACTTTGTACCTAGTACCCACTCAAGGGTGGGTCGACCTTGGACATTTTTGAAAATAAGCCCAGTTCCACCAGGACTTGAACCCACGACCTTCTGATCCGCAGTCGAGCGCCTAGCCGCTACACCACGTTATTGTTTTAGGGTTTGTTTTAAATGAAAACCGACTAACATTAACCCTAACTTTCAAGTTGTTAGCAGCTCTCTCACAACATCAGTCACCCACTGGCTCGCCGGTAGACAACTTCGTCGCCGATCGGGACAGTAATATGGGTCTGTCTCTGTTGATAGCATCAGCACTGCAGGAGTCCCTTTTCATGGCTCTTGGTGGTGTGAATTGCTAAGCCATTTTATATGACACACATAGCCTAGTCATAATTATAACCTAAAGCTCCACCTTCAGGGATGCTGGTTGAACGTGGCGATTTTTTTTATCTAGCAAAACACAAACTTCCTAGCGGTTTTCTTTGGAAAAATTAAGGTTGACGCCTTAAGTTGTTGTGTCAAGTTGACCTGAAAAGCCAGCTGGATAATGGGCGACCCAACTTGAAAAGTCGATAGAAAGTTAAGTATTATCTATCAACATTGACAAATTCTGTTCATAAAGACCGAGTGTGACATATGTAAGAAAGTAAAGTAAAGATCCTTTTTCCCGCCTATAGGCGCATCGGGCATATGGGAAGAGCGCCCATATTTTTACAGACCTATCGTCACTAGCTGGGTAATGTAGTCAATATTACGCCGGCTGTCTTTACTGTCTCAGGACATACATCCTGGTACCTATTTCACGCTGGGTAGACCTGCAACGCCCCATACTATGAGAAAAATCTACGCAGCCAGCAGTGGGATTCGATCACGGAACGTTGGAATTACAGTCGAACTTGCAACGCCTAAGCCACAGACGCAGAGGGGGGACTAAGATGTTCAGAATGGAGATAAAATAAATCTCATTCCCTTATCCAGAATATAATCCGGGTCTCTGACAGTAGAGCCCAATTCCAAACCACTTGACTAGCCTTTTCTGTGATAAAACTAGATGACTCTCTTCTAAAGGGACATGAAAACGTTATCTCTAACATATTTGAACAAATTGATGCCATTTAAGTCCCTTTAGAAGAGAGTCACTCTTAAGCAAGTGTAACTTGGTTTGGGTGTTTTCAGGGTTGGCCATGGCCATTGAGTTAACCGTATGTGTCGATTCCTCCCCACCAAATATATGGTTGACACATTCCGTTTCTGGGGACAGCTTTTATCGAGTTTGCTCTCTAGACAGTTGCAGTCCCCTGCTGACGAGATTCTGTCTTCCCGAGTGGACCGCCGCGATCAAAACATTGCGAAGGCAGCGTGGTCGAGGCTGCCAAAACTATCGGTCATTATCCCGCCCCGACACAGCACAACCACAATACACGCTGTTCCCACGAAAAACACATAATATCCTGCGTTGGAAATGCGCATAAAATAGCAGTCCATTATTATAGAACAGAATAATCCGAGAGAATTGACAGCCAGCGAAAATAAACACAGCTGCTGTCCGCCATTTTGAAAACGGAAGTCGTTTTCAGGGTTAAGAACCGACACCACAACATCTACGACATTACCATATTCACCCCGTCCTCCATCTTCAGCAGCAAGCGCAGAACCAGTGCTTATAATGCCAGCTCAGTCTATTTACATGTTCGTCTTGTCTTTCATCTGCTTTTCTGATGTCAGCTGGATTACCTACCTCTCCACTCCCCCATCCTCCTACTACACCGCTATTTCCAGGCCATATTATAGTAGCTATTCCGCTCTGTTAACCTTTGCAGATGTGCGAATAAGACTTTTTTTTTTCTACTTCGCCTTCAAGAGGGGGCGGTTGGCACACAATGTTATAGCTTTCAGCATGGCTGCGATATCTGCGCCTGTCGGCCTAACACATCCGCTTTGCAGCAACCTTAACTCTTTCAGTCCCAAGCATTTGTTACTTGTTATTTTATAAGAGGCTATAGTTGAAAGTATTAAGTATTTAGATCTGAAAGAGTTACACCAGATTCATTATGCGACAGAAAGACGTGAAACTTATAAATCTGATACCGTTTGTTAAGGTAACATTGACCTGTTATAGAAGAATACAAGAACAGTATGTTGTCTTTTGTAATCAAGAAACGCATGGTAAGTTGTTTGGAACCCAAAGAGTTAATGGTCACCTTTCGCAGCAAGCATTCGTGAAGGCAGTAACCCTTTTCTATTATTAATTTTTTTTTTTAAACCAGAATGTGTGCCCTGACAGCAACAGGTAAAGGTCCTTTAAGGCACCAGCGGAGCATCTGGCGTATGGGGCTATACTCATGTTTATATGGACCAGTATACTCTCTACCACTATACCTCGAGGTGGTGAACATCACGCCGGCCGTCTTTACTTTCCATGACTTTACGTGTTATCTATTTATGATTAGATCTCCATGGAAAGCCCCAAGAGACAAAAAGAGAACCATTTATCATTGTTTTCTTGGTTACAGTACTAATTAGAGTATGATTGTCAATCAAATTCCTGATTAACAAAATATTCTTTTGTTCCTTGTTAGGCTGCTGGACATTCTAGCATGTCGTAAAGATCCTACTGGGGTGTCCGGTCAGCTTCTTCTGGACGGGAAACCTGTACCGGACAACTTCAAGTGCATGGTGGGATACGTGGTCCAGGTATTGACCACATTCCTGCTGTGAATGAAAGTTTCCATGCTTACGTTTACATTCACAAATTACTCATGTGAACTAGACAGCTTATTAAATATAATTGTACATCATAGGCTTGATTCAACCCGACAATTGTTTGCACATCCAAAGTTTAGTTAGGCAAACTAAATCAACCCGATAATTCTTTGCCCATCTTAAGTTTAGTCAGGCAAACTAAATCAATCCAACATTAATTTGCACATCTTAAGTTTAGTCAGGCAAACTAAATCAATCCAACAATCGTTTGCACATCTTAAGTTTAGTCAGGCAAACTAAATCAACCCGATAATTCTTTGCACATCTTAAATTTAGTCAGGCAAACTAAACGAGCCCAACAAATTAATGTTTACATTCTTGTTTACGTTCTTAATGACAATTGTGCAAGGCATTGACATTGGGCTGTATATTCGAACCCAGTGTGTGCAGTATACCCATGCTTTTGTTGTTGTCATTATTGTTTTAATCAGGCGTCCGCTTAGATTTTTAGCGACTGAAGAAGTTCATAGTTCTCATCGTAGTATGTGTGCAGGTGTGTGTGTGTGTGTGTGTGTGTGTGTGTGTGTGTGTGTGTGTGTGTGTGTGTGTACCTGTCTGTTTTGTCTGAGAGATTCATTGTCGCCGAGTCGAGTAATGAAATAAATGATCAGATACAAGAACATTGGGCAACATTATGTAGATATGCATATGGTCGAAGAGACATCATATGGTCAAAGATACATTATATAGTCAAAGAAACATCATATAGTCAAAGAGACATCATATAGTCAAAGAGACATCATATAGTCAAAGAGACATCATATGGTCTAAGAGACATCATATGGTCAAAGAGACATCATATGGTCAAAGAGACATCATATGGTCAAAGAGACATCATATGGTCAAAGAGACATCATATGGTCAAAGAGACATCATATGGTCAAAGAGACATCATATGGTCAAAGAAACATCATATAGTCAAAGAGACATCATATGGTCAAAGAGACATCCGCAGACTCCAGTTAAACATACAGATACACGGACGGACAAACACTCAGATATACAGATGGACACATAGCTGTCTTGTTGGCTGAATGGATGGATTTATCGAGCTATCAATAAATCGATGGATAAATAGTCGAACACATGTACAGGTAAACAAATATAAAGACGGACAGACTGGTTGATGTGTGTGTGTGTGTTTGTTTGTTTGTTTGTGTGTGTCAGTGGTATCTCGGTATGGGTCCTCAATCAGTTTCAAACCCTTGAACTTATACAAAATGGGACGTATACCAAACATTTTCCTATAAAAAAAATATAGGAAGAACAATTAATGGTTATATCCCAATATCTCTCCCCCCCCCCCCCTTTTCCCTCACCAAACTGGCAGTCGAATGTTTTAAGAAACGGTAGATAGGACCATGATTTGATAGCAAAGACTGTACTTCAAGGAACATTGGGGGGGATAGTCAAAGAAGAGGAGAGCAAAGAAGAACCTGGAATGACAACATCAATAAACGGACAGGGCTAAGTTATCATACACTTATTCATCAAGCGGAAGACAGAGAAAGATGGTGGGTTTTATGTGCTAGTGCTTCCATCGATACATCTACACGACCCTAAAGGGTCAAGGGTTATGTTAAGTTATGTAAAAAAATTAAAATTAAAAAGGGAACCCCCCCCCCCACACCCCCCCCCCAACACCCCCCACCCCTCCCCCACCCTTCTTCCCCCCCCCCCCCCCCCCCCAAGGAAAACTTACATCAAGAAAAACGCAACGACAAACAATGTTCACTGCACGATTGATGCTGTCAGCGAGCTGACAACATGGTGTTGAAGACATGCTTGTCCGTTTGTACGCTGAGACATTGTTCGAGCCCAAATGTATCGGAAATTATGTTCATGGGCCGATTGTTCGTGACCAAAGGCGTTCATGATCAGGGGGTACCGTGTGTAACACTTGTCCATGTGTCTGTACCTTTATTCCTACTCCTATGCCTTGGATTTGGTAGCCAATCATCCCCACTTGTACATGATTTCCTACCAAGGATGATATCGTTGTTGGGACTTTGTCCGTGAGAGAGAACTTCCACTTCTCCGCTGCCTTGAGACTGCCCAACACAGTCAGCTCCTCCCAGAGAAAGGATCGTGTGAACAACGTTATCGAGGAGCTTGGGCTTGACCAAATGTGCTGATACTAAGGTAAGGAAAACTGTAGTGAATAAACATCTAGATTTCATTTTCCAGTGGCGTCCGTGGTTTAGGCGTTGCGAGTCCGACTCGTAATTCCAGCGTACCGAGATCAAAACCCCACTAAGGTAAAGGTAAAGGTAAGGTAAAGTCGGGAGATGTGAACCAGCGTCATTGCACACGGTTATAAACCACAAGTGCCCTGCCACCAGTACAGACAGCTGATAAGAACTGTCCGCCTGTGTCGCCGTTCGCACGTAACTCTGTAGCTACAGCGACGTTCCTCCATTTACCCCAGTGTCAACTCTGGTACACATTTCCTAAAGGCTGGGTGAACGCCGGGAACCGCCCGGTTTCGAACACCGACCGTGGCTGCAGCGAGTCGCAGCTGGATTTGAAAGCTAGCGCCTTCTCGACTGCGCTAACGCGGCCCCATTATTTTCAGCGTTAGGATTTAAACCCACGCCTCCGAAAAGACTGGTGCCTAAAACCAGCCACTGCTGGCTGCGTGAGTGTTCATAATGCTACGAGGCGTCGAAGGTCTGAAATGGGTACCAGGATGGTTGTCCTCGGAAAGTCCTGACAACCGCATTTAGTTCTCAGGACCTGCCCTGGTAACCGTTTGAGGTTGGATTGACGTGGGAGTCTAGTCGAATTGGGAGAATCCCAAATGCTGTAAATGGAAGCATTATTGGATGGGTGTTTTTCCTACCAAACGTAACTCCACCAATGATGCACCTAAATTGATCTTGACTTTTCACCCTAACAATGTGGTTGCTTCCAAAGTATTCTTTCGTCATTTGGACATCCTCCGCTCTGATCCGGACACCAAAATTATCTTTAGTGAGAAACCTAGATTAGTTTACAGACGAGATCGCAACCTTAAAGACATACTTGTCCGAAGCCGACTCCCACCGATCCACACAGCACTTCCTTTTGGGACTACTCAGTGCTCACGTAGCACCTGCAAGACATGTCCTTTCGTTGTCCAGACTTCTTCGGTCAGTTTCCCTAATGGTTCTTTTCAAATTAGGGAACCTTTTACTTGCGAATCCCGCAACGTAATTTATGCAATTATCTGCAAACGATGCAGCAAGCATACATTGGAGAGACTGGCAGGAAGCTAGCTGATCGTTTCCGGGAACACCTCTCCGATATCGACAAGAAGACACTCAAACCAATCCCTCTTCATTTTAATAGCCTGACCACAGCGGTAAAGATAACATATCTGTCACAGCATTAAAATCTTGCTCTGGCGATCATACTACCCGCCTCGCTTTGGAAATCGCCTTATCCACAGCCTTGGCGTTCTTAGTCCAAGAGGTATCAATATCCAACATACCTTCATCTAAATAGTTTCTAATCTTATCACATTTTAAATGTTAATTTTTTTATTTTATTTCATATTATTACCTTATTCTATTTCTTATCAGTATCATTTATGTATCATTACCACTTGCATTTCTTTTATTCCCAGTATTGTGACTATATTTTTTAGCCATCGTTTATTTTATTTTATTTCATTTTTTCCGCATCACATTTTTTTAAAGCGCTCACGTCACCCCTTAGAGATCTACATACTCTCCATTCCTCGTTTGTGTCTTTCACTTGTGTTTGAAAAAGGCTGCCCAGCCGAAACGTTACGTTTTGTTGTTTTGTGCACGTTTTCCTCTTTCCCATTTTGTTGAGCTTTTTAGTCAAATTTCTCTGGAATTCATAGTAAAAGTGTGTAAGATGATAATGACGTTTAACACCACCAGGACATCACGCCGTGCGATAAACACTTGGTGACACCGGGTGCTACCATTCGGACGAGAATCACCTGGGGACAGGTCCCAGAAATCCCATTCAACCCACATGTTGGGTTTTATTAGGAACCCAGACTACAGCCAGAATGGGGCTTTAAAACAACAACAAAAATTGTGTTCCACATTGGCAAGCACACAATATATGGAAATATTGAATATCGTGGACAAAGAGAAAAACAAAACACAGGTAATCAAATATCCCCCGTGATGTTATATCATTTGTAAAACCCTTTCTTTTTTAAATGTCTGTACCGTCTCCACCGTGAAGGTTGATATTGTATCCCACTGCTGTCTTTGGAAATATTACGTGGTAAAGCTTCAGTCTCTTCCACGGTTTTACTCCGCTTGGACCTGAAACCATTACCTTCCCACCCGCACGTGAGCATCTAGCCGCTACTCTATGACGGCGGCATTTCAGCTTTGCATTTTACCTGTGCATTTCAGGTGGGCAACGAATTCATCCGAGGTGTGTCTGGCGGTGAGAGAAAGCGTTGTAACATCGGCATGGAGCTGATTATCTCCCCTCCAGTTCTGTTTCTGGACGAGCCAACCACAGGACTGGATGCCAGTACCGCCAACACTGTCCTTTTGTTTCTCAAGCGGTTAGTTCCTTGTTTAACTCACTGTTAATTCCTTTTCAAATCGTTGTTAGTTCCTGGTTAAGTTCATTATTAGTTTCTTTTGTCGCACAGTGTTAGTTTCGTCTTTAATGGATTGTTAGTTCATTGTTTAAGTCATTGTTAATTCCTTTTTAACTTGTTGTTAGTTCCTGGTTTAGCTTATTGGTAGTTCCTTCTGTAACACAGTGTTTGTTACGTCTTTAAATAATTGTTAGTTACTTGTTTAAGTCATTTTTAATTCCTTTTTAACTCGTTAATTCCTGGCTTAGCTCATTGATAATTCTATCTGTAACACAGTGTTTGTTTCGTCTTTCATTAATTGTTAGGTCCTTGTTTGAGTCATTGTTAATTCCTTTTTTACTCGTTGTTAGTTCCTGGTTTAGCTCATTGATAGTTCCTTCTGTAACACAGTGTTTTTTACGTCTTTAATGGGTTGTTTTAAAAGAGGCGGGAGACCGAAGACAACTTATCACTGACATCAGAAGGAGACAGTCATCATTTTTCCTGTTCCTTGTGTTGTGACCACTGGAAAGATCTGTTAAGGAGGGATAGAGGATTGTTAAGATTCCTTTTTTGCTCATTGTTAGAACTCCTGGTTTAGCTCGCGGATTGATAGTTCGCCCACGCCAGTCGGCAAGTCACCTGAAGATGATGATTAATGGGTTGTTCGTTCCTTGTCCTTGTCATTGTTAATTCCTTTTTAACTCATTGTTAGTTCCTGGTTTAGCTTATTGATAGTTCCTTCCGTGTTAGTTTCGTATTTAATCGATTGTTAGTTCATTGTTTAACATCATCATTATTGGTAACTTTCCTTCGTTCCAGACGATAAGGTTATATTGTGTTATTAGGAGGCATGGGACTCACAACCCATGGCGAAGGCGAGTGTTACTAGCAAGACCCGCCCGCGTTAAGAAAATTCTTCCACAAATTCAGCATGGGATTTCAGGACCATTGTTGTCAACATTTGTATTTATGGTGTTTCTTCTCAGATGCTCAGCTCTCATCATTTCTGCAATCGTTTCTTCCTTCATTCTTATTCCCTTCCTGATATGCTCCACAAACACAACACGATCCTAGTGCAAATAAGTTGACCAAGTATCACTGCCATAAAGCAGAGTGCTGAGAACACAAGCCTGATAGACAAGGGTTTTTGTTTTAATCGTGGGCTTTCTGTTCTTCCAAACTCTTTTTCTTATTCTGCTCATTGTTGTCGCTGCCATACTTATCCAGAAGTTCATTTCTTGGTCCAGCGATAGTTTGTTGTTCAATGTGGATCCCATATAGGTAAAATGGTCAAATGTCTCCAGATCTTCACCGTCAATGTAGACGTCAATGTAGATCTATCACTAATAACCATAACCCTGCCTTCTGTTGTTGTTGTTTTTGTTCAGTGTTAGCCCAGATTCACAGCACCCGTCAGCAAATACAGATAGCAAACATTGCAGCTCCTCCTCTGAGTTGGTGGTTTCTGCAGCATCATCTGCAAACAGCAGCTTTCTGATAAGTACTTTTCTTATCCTGGTTTTGGCCTTCAGCCGACGAGCACTGTAAAGGATTGAGGATGGATAAGCCATCTGATATCGAAAGGCATGTTTCAAAAGAAGCGAGAAGTATATTCCGAAGAAGGTAGGAGCAAGTACACTCCCTGCTTGACTCCATTCTTGATTATAAACTCCTCCAATATTACACTATCGAAGTCGGTTGTACCGTTCACACATGTGCTGAAAGACTCAGTAACACTTAGTGGAGTAGGTGAACACCTAATCTTCCTCAGCGCGTTGAACAGACCTTTTCGACTAACCAAATCAAATGCCTTAGTAAAATCAATAAAAGCAACATACAGTGGTTGATTTTGTTCACAGCATTTTTCCTGCAACTGTCGTAATGAAAATATCATATCAGTGGTATACCGGTTCCTACAAACCTCACACTGTGATTTTGGGTAAACCCTGTCTCCCAGAATCTGGGGTCTTCGCAGAACAATCTGCCAAGTATTTTTTTTTATTCAACAGTGCACAGCAGTGATATTCCCCTGTAGTTATAGCAGTCACTCCGATCACTCTTGTTCTAGTATATAGTTATGATACTTGTTTAACATACTGTTGGTTATTGGCTTATTGATTTCTATATGAAGCGATGTAAATGCATGATTCATATCATTGTTCGCTGTTGTTTTAACTTACTGTTTGTTATTGTTCAACTCAGTGTTCCATCTTGGTTTAACTAACTGTTAGTTATTTTTAACTCATTGTTAGTTCCTGGTTTATATCCCTGTTAATTCCTTTTTAACACATTGTTAGTTCTCTGTCCAACCCGGGATTATTTCCTTGTTTAAATCGTCGTTAGTTAATTGTTTAACTGATAGTTAGCTTCATGATTAATTAACTGTTAGTTATTTTTAACACTTTGTTTGTTCCTCTTTTATACTTATTGTTAGTTCATTGTTTAACGTATTGTTAAATCTTTGTTGAACAGGTTCTGCGTGTCTTGTTTAACTCACTGGTAGTTTCTTGTTTAACTCACTGGTAGTTTCTTGTTTAACTCACTGGTAGTTTCTTGTTTAACTCACTGGTAGTTTCTTGTTTAACTCACTGGTAGTTTCTTGTTTAACTCACTGGTAGTTTCTTGTTTAACTCACTGGTAGTTTCTTGTTTAACTCAATGTTAGTTTTAACCGTCGGCGTCTGTGGCTTAGGCGTTGCGAACGCGTTTCGTAATGCCGGGATGCCAGGTTCGCTTCCAGCTGCGGGTCTTGCGTTGGTTTCGACAGTGGTATCGAGAGCTAATCGCACAGAAAGCATTGGCAAACTACTGCACGTAAAATTTGCCTAGAAAAACCACAATACCCAAAGAATACTGGGGTTGGTTCTGCAACGTCCTGTAAAGGATACGCAAGTAACTAGTTTGAACCCACCCACAACGGACTGCGTCCTACTAAGTTATCGTAGTGTAAGTAAACCTGTCAAGGACACTTCATCCGCCTTCAGGCGATTTGGGCATATAGGGCTAGACTTATACTTTATAGACCAATCGGCACTCGGTAGATAAGGTGGTCAAAATTACGCCGGTCGCCTTTACTTCCCAGGACTGTACGTGGTACTAATTTAAGGCTAGGTCGAACTGGGAACCAAAGTCATTTTTTTAAAAGTCTAGCTTCACCAGAACCCGAAAGCACAATCTTCCGATCAGCCGTCTAGCTACTACATCACGGCGGCTCCCTAATCGTAGTATGTCTTTTTTTTAGTCAAGGTTTCAACTTCACCACAATCGGGTTTCCCTAAACTTGCTCCGTCCCTGTGCCAGTGCAATTCAAATGAAATGCCCCACACTGTCGAAAAGAAAAACTGGAGAACAAACAATTAGTATCTGAACAATCCAGAAATTTGCGCACGCAGTAAATGCATATTGCAGTTGCTAGAGGCGCCAAAGCCAACAGTCGCTACCAGAAACGCATCGAGCATGATAAGTTGGCTATACACACGTAGAATTATTACATAAGGTATTTTACCAGTTCACACGTGAACCGGCTACCGGCCATATTGAATACTACGATACAACCACTCCACAAATAATAGGCATTCCACATGAGAAACACAGCTCACAGGACTGCACCAAGCACTAAACTCAGCAGTTCGGGAAACGAAACTGTAGACTATCGTCCTTATAAAGAAACTGCATTAGCAAAGCGCTGTCGGAAGCAAAAATAACTTCGAAGCTCAACATTCTGCCATGCCTTATACTCAATTTTAGACCGGAAGTCTAATCGTAGTATGCCCTAAGACATACTAATGAACGGGATTTCCAGGATTAGCGCCAGTGTTATTCTCATACTTGAGGTGTTTGTCGCGCAGAGTGTAAACCTAGAGGTAAAACCACGTTAATGTTAGTCCCTTGTTAAACTTATTACTGATTGTTTATTTGGCTCATTTGTTTGGTCCTAATTTATTTCAAAGTCAAATCCTTGCGTAACTCATGGTTAGTTGGTGATTTCCCTCGTGCAGGCTGTCACAGAAAGGCCGGACTATCATTTTCTCCATCCATCAGCCCCGATACTCTATCTACAGTCTGTTTGATCACCTGGTTCTGCTCTCTTCTGGTTACACCATATACGACGGGCCTGCCCCGGAAGCGCTGGATTTCTTCGCTTCACAAGGTAACTGCTTGTACTGTTTACATAAAACAATAAAACTTCAATATTTTTCCACGCCAATATTTGTCTTTTTGTAATAATTTCCAGCTGGTTTTCTTTGAAATCTTTGCTTGATATTTGCCTAAAAGTCAATATTTATCCCCCCTCTGGCGTGGCCGGCGAGGAGGACCACAGACCGGATCTAACACCACAAGAGCTACTGGAGCTTTATAAAGAACAGGCAGTTGGAGCACTAAAAGAATTTTAACTGACGAGGTAAAATGAAGATGATGCACCGATTCCTAGTGATAAAATTAAGGAATGGCTGTCCTTTGGGTAAATATGTAGGTTTTCATCAACAAATGGCACTCAAACATGGCTATAGTGAATCGGCGTACCGATTAATTTGATGTGATATATATTTAGACATTTTGGGGAAATGGAAAGATTTCAAAAAATTAAACAACTCCGGATAAGTGGAAACAAATATTGCTGGAGAATCGTCTGAAAATTCGATAAAAACTCGGAGACACAAAGTGAAACCATTTCTGATGTAAACCCCCCAGCAGAGGTTTAAGAAACTCCGTTCAAACGTTAGGTTATATTTAGACCCCGACAACAGCTGGTGTGTGGCTTTAAGAAAGTTGTATCCCGTATTGGGGCGGAGTCACGCGCATCCACGGGGATAGACCAAGATGACAGGAAAAACTTAAGAACTAAAAGTTCCAAACATGAAGGCAGATTGACTGGTAAAATGCATATTGTCTCTGAAACTTAATTATTTGGGTCATATCAAGCGCCACAGCGGATTGGGAAAAAAAATATATAATAGCAGAAGGTGTGGTGCCAAGATAAAGGGGTAGAGGCCGACCAGAACGAAGGTGGGTACACGATATAAAAGACACCTTGGGTAAGAAAGTGCACGAGGCGGGAGAGCTAAAAGACCCTGTTTCTTTTGGGCGAGTTGTGATGAGATCGACGTTGTGCAGGGGACCCGCTACATGCTGATGATAATGATTTGTTTTTACTGCGAGATGAATTATTTCATGCTACTATGCAGTAAGATTCACCCAGAAACAGCAGATCAAATATTTTGGTAATCTCGTTAGAATGCAGCAACATAAAATGCCATCATATGCACTAAATCTCAAAAGATCATAAAAAGATCCAGAGGACGGCCATGAAAAAGTGGATCGACAACATTAAAGACACTTTACGCCTTCATGACATGACAATAGCCAGAGCCAGCCAACATGCATTAGATCGCAAATTATTCATCCACACATTGCTTAATGGCAGAAGAGTTTATGAGGTGATCGTAATCGAAATACCTACCGGTTGTTAATGTTTTGTCTAGATTTTTCTTATTATCCATGTCAGGTTTTCAGTGCGAAGAACACAATAATCCTCCGGACTTTTTCCTGGATGTCATCAACGGTGACGTCAGTGTGTTCAGCATTGACAGTATGCCAGAGATCACTGTTGAAGTAGATGTGGGACGTAAGTTCACCAATCTATGCTATAAAACAGAATGCATATCTCTCTGTCTGTCTGTATTTCACAGGAACTCCTAAAAAAGTAACAGTAGCGCACGTGACATTTGCACATGTAATTCTGACTGCTGTGCTATTTTCAGCTGTCAGCTTTCAACTTTTAAAATATTATTATTATTATTATTATTATTATTATTATTATTATTATTATTACTACTACTACTACTACTACTACTACTACTACTACTACTACTACTACTACTACTACTACTACTACTACTACTACTACTACTACTACTACTACCACTACTACTACTACTATTTTGTAGTTTCCTGCTCAACTTGCATTTGCAGTCAAAGAGACAATTAATCCCAGCCTAAGATTTGACCAACAAGTGCAGCTCGTATGGACAGGTATATGCAGCGTTGTCAAGGGCTACGGATCTCTTAAAATTGTTCATTATCGCTGATGATCAAGAAGAGACTAAACATATGGTATACAGCCAAGTAGCTAAACACATGTGTAATTAGAGCGTGAATACAGTTAAGGACCTGTTTACGTTTCCCGGTCCTACTACACATTGGTTGACCTTTCATTCTTGCTTTCTCAGGCTGGTCTACGTCAGAGGTGTGTCACGTTCTACTTTTGTTTCGAAAAGACTCTCTCGATGGACTTAGGCTGAGGCAGTGTGTAGGGGAGTTTGGGTTAGGGCCAATTCTAGATCTTCTGAAGTCGTTAAAAACTGTGTCGTCGTGTAGTACAGAACACGCGACATCGGCTGTGATGTAACTGGAGACAAGACAACGTGACATTCCTAAGAACAGCCTGAGAAAGTATTATTAAAGGTCCACCAGGGTGTAGTTGGGCCGGGAAACGTAAACAGGACCACAAGTAATTATAATGAATAAAGCGTGAGTTTGAAATTATGCCGGGCAATACAGCTATTTATCCACACATATAAAACCTTTGAAATATAGAAGTATGAACTGTCATTATCTATGCCCGGATTGTCAACCTTTATCCTAAAAATATTTCATGAAAATACTGAAAATCGACATGTACACATTCTTATAGACAGTATCTACTGCAGATGGGTTGAAACAAAAGTTAAAGACCTGTCGAGCATATTGCACTAGAACCATATTTTGTTCAAGACTTCAAGAGATTTGTGAGAGGTGATCTAGTCAACATTACACAGGCTACCTTTACTTGCTTAATCATTTCTTATATCAATGTTAGGTATTTTCGACCTGAAAGCCGTAGGTCAATTATACAAATGTTCCACGATGCAGATTTGAACCCATACACTGAACCGGCAAGCAAGTGTTAACCACTGCGCACAGCTAATCGATCCAGAGTGCAATTCCTGACAACAGAATCAGTCCTTTACATGAGATAACGCTCACTTGTACTAGGGCTTATCTTTTTTTTTTTTTTTAATAATGTAAAATATGGCGAAGAGAAAAGATAGAATATTGTATTAAAAACATTAACTGGTATGTCAGCTTTACAAATCACTTATAATTAACTGATATGTCAGCTTTACAAATCACTTATAATTTTCTGGTATGTCAGCTTTACAAATCACTTATAATAAACAGATAGATGACGTTAATACAGTGGTCATTACGGTGATTAGCCATCCTCTTAGCAGAAGAATGACAAGACACAAAACACAACATACAGAAAACCGAAAAGACTACACTGAGATATTCACATAGCATGTAAAGAAATTAAACAAAATAAAGATGAACGACAGAATGTAAAAAAGTATGTCATACTGATCCAGACCGCTCCGAACCGCATCATTAATCGGCAAGTCCCTTACAAAACGTCGCTTTCTTCACGGCACGCCTGAAAGTATCTCTTTCCAAAGTCAGCTCCCCGGCCCCATGTGCTTTCAGTGCCAATGCATCTTGTGTCCTGTATCCATCTTCGCGGAGGTCGACCCCTGCCTCGTCTTCCACAAACAGCACCCTACCTCGCCGTCTTCCAAGGCACCGTGACGTCTGGTGTGGCCAAAATACTTCAACTTTCGGGACAGGATGCTGTTTATGGGCCAGTTCTCCTTGATATTCAACTCGTTTAGAATGTCGATGTTCTTTCTCTTCTTGGTCAGTGGTATTCTGAGAATGTTTCTATAACATTTCAATTCAAAAGCTCTAATCTTTGTCTTCAGTGACTGAGTGAGAGTCCCAGACTCGCGACCGTAAGTTGCCACAGAAAAATGCATGATCTCAAGATTTTACTTAAACTAATGTACAGGTGCTTTGCCACGGGTTCTCCTGCTGTTTAATCTCTGCAATGCTTATGCAAGTCCTCTTCTGACTTCTTTCGAGCCGTCGCCACTGTTATTTACTAAAGAACCCAAGTATTCGAAATCTGTTACATTCTCTTAATATTCATTTTTTTCTGAATTGCATTAAAAAAAAAAAAAACCGAAGTAAAGCAGAATTCCCTTCTGTCGAGGAAGGATAAAGCGACAACAGTGAAATCTGATTAGTTGAAGTAAGAGGTTCGAGAGAA